TGATATCACATATAAAACATATCTCACAAGGCCAAAAGTCGAAAGTCAACGCCGGGGAGGGTTTTTCGCTTCCACTGAGAGGCGGGGATACTTAAAAAAACGAAAAATTCGAAACTTTTCGCACTCGTAAAAATGGAATATCAAGTAAGACTGGATGGCGCATATTACTTTAACAGTTTATAAGAGCATTAAACTAAAAGCAGTTACTTGCAAATTGAATATAAAGTAATTTTCGACTAATTTAAAACCGATTCCATGCGATTTTCTCTCAGATCTAAGAAATCTGAGGCAAAAACGGAAGAAGTTGCCAGCTGCATCAATGGTGAGGAAGCATGCGAAGATGAAACAGCAGAGGACCGGAGTATAAATACAGCTGGAAGAGTTCTCAGTTCACAGAATGATTCTCCAACTACGCAACTGGCAAAATTTTTCTGATTACTGTGACAAGCACAAAAATTTTCGGGCGAAAAAAAAAAGACTTATATATTTATTGTGTATTTGAGGGCAATTCCGAGATGGATTGTAGTATAAATGGAGACATGTGATGGAATTGCATATTTTATATAAGTGAAATCTGTATTTTACGTAGATGCAGTACACTTTATATGTATTTCAAAACCTACAGGTAAATTGCGTTCTACACTTATTCCTCTTATATACCCTTTTCTAAGTACAATACATGTAAAGCACGCGTGAATTGTGTAATTTACATGTACTTTTTCCAAATGACCCACATTTTGATCACTACACGGTACAGCACTAATGCTGTATTGCTCAGTGGTCAGAATGTTGGCACTCATGCTTGATCTATTATCCGAGTCGCCCTAATTTTTGTGGTTATTAGTGGTCTGTTTCGAGTATTACTCTATTTTTTTGCGCAAAAATCAGGTTCATCCTGTTGTGGGTGCCTGAAAACAGCCACTCAAAGCAACAGGCACAAATTGCCAAGCACAATAAAAAGCCATATTTACGATTCGATAAACTGTGCGAAAGTAAAATTATCTTAAAAAAACAGGGCAGCAAGTGGC